GGGATTTTTGGTTCATTTGGGCTTTCAAGAGTGTTTTATAGCGTCATTTCTTTAAAAATATTCACCAATATCCCAAAATCGCCATTATGAAATATGGCAATTTTTGATATATTTTGAAAATTTGAATTTGGAAAAAATAGTTCGAAAATCAGTCGTCGTTTAGACTTGAGATTACTTTTTCTTATAGATTCATAATTCCTTCGACAACACGATTTTTTCATTACTTTCTTGTAGATTTTTTTGCTGATTTTTAAACAAATTCGCAAAATTTCAACATTTCAAATTGAAATTTTTTACTTTTTCCCAAGTATCGTCACAAATTACCAAAGGAGATCTTTGGGTTAGTTGGATTTTCAAGTGTCTTCAAGCTTTATTTCTCGAAATTTTCACGCATTTCCCAAAATCTCAATTATGAAATATGGCAATACATTTTGAAAAACTGAATTTGACCAAGATTTTTTTTCATGATTTTTTTCCCCCGAATTTTTGGTAAATTTTTTAACAAATTCGCCAAAATTTCAACATTTCAAATTGAAATATTTTACTTTTTCCCAAGTATCATGATTCTACAGAAATTACTAAAGGGGATTTTTGGTTCATTTGGGCTTTCAAGAGTGTTTTATAGCGTCATTTCTTTAAAAATATTCACCAATATCCCAAAATCGCCATTATGAAATATGGCAATTTTTGATATATTTTGAAAATTTGAATTTGGAAAAAATAGTTCGAAAATCAGTCGTCGTTTAGGCTTGAGATTACTTTTTCTCATAGATTCATAATTCCTTCGACAACACGATTTTTTTCATTACTTCTTCTAGATTTTTTTGCTGATTTTTAAACAAATTCGCCAAAATTTCAACATTTTAAATGAAACTTTTTACTTTTTCCCAAGTATCGTCAGAGATTACCAAAGTAGATCTTTGGGTTGATTGGATTTTCAAGTGTCTTCAAGCTTTATTTCTCGAAATTTTCACGCATTTCCCAAAATCTCATTTATGAAATATGACAATATATTTTGAAAATCTGAATTTGACTAAGATTTTTCTCATAATTTTTCCCCCGAATTTTTGGTAAATTTTTTAACAAATTCGCCAAAATTTCAACATTTCAAATTGAAATTTTTTACTTTTTCCCAGGCATCATGATTCTACAGAAATTACTAAAGGAGATTTTTGGTTCATTTGGGCTTTCAAGAGTGTTTTATAGCGTCATTTCTTTAAAAATATTCACCAATGTCCCAAAATCGCCATTATGAAATCTGGCAATTTTTGATATATATTTTGAAAATTTGAATTTGGAAAAAATAGTTCGAAAATCAATCGTCATTTGGACTTGAGATTACTTTTTCTCATAGATTCATAATTCTTTCGACAACACGATTTTTTCATTACTTTCTTCTAGATTTTTTGCTGATTTTTAAACAAATTCGCGAAATTTCAACATTTTAAATGAAACTTTTTTACTTTTTCCCAAGTATCGTCAGAAATTACCAAAGTAGATCTTTGGGTTGGTTGGATTTTCAAGTGTCTTCAAGCTTTATTTCTCGAAATTTTCATGCATTTCCCAAAATCTCAATTATCAAATATGGCAATATATTTTGAAAATCTGAATTTGACCAAGATTTTTTTTTCATAATTTTTCCCCCGAATTTTTGGTAAATTTTTTAACAAATTCGCCAAAATTTCAACATTTCAAATTGAAATTTTTTACTTTTTCCCAAGCGTCATGATTCTACAGAAATTACTAAAGGAGATTTTTGGTTCATTTGGGCTTTCAAGAGTGTTTTATAGCGTCATTTCTTTAAAAATACTCACCAATGTCCCAAAATCGCCATTATGAAATACGGCAATTTTTGATATATTTTAAAAATTTGAATTTGGAAACAGTAGTTCGAAAATCAGTCGTCGTTCAGGCTTGAGATTACTTTTTCTCATAGATTCATAATTCCTTCGACAACACGATTTTTTCATTACTTTCTTCTGGATTTTTTTGCTGATTTTTAAACAAATTCGCCAAAATTTCAAAATTGTAAATGAAACTTTTTACTTTTTCCTAAGTATCGTCAGAAATTACCAAAGTAGATCTTTGGGTTGGTTGGATTTTCAAAAGTACCTTCAAGCTTTATTTCTCGAAATTTTCACGCATTTCCCAAAATCTCAATTTTGAAATATGGCAATATATTTTGAAAATCTGAATTTGTCCAAGATTTTTTTTCATAATTTTCCCCCCGAATTTTTGGTAAATTTTTTAACAAATTCGCCAAAATTTCAACATTTCAAATTGAAATTTTTTACTTTTTCCCAGGCGTCATGATTCTACAGAAATTGATAAAGGAAATTTTTGGTTCATTTGGGCTTTCAAGAGGGTTTTATAGCGTCGTTGCCTTAAAAATATTCACCAATGTCCCAAAATCGCCATTATGAAATCTGGCAATTTTTGATATATTTTGAAAATTTGAATTTGGAAAAAGTAGTTCTAAAATCAGTCGCCGTTTACAGTTGAGATTACTTTTTCTCATAGATTCATAATTCTTTCGACAACACGATTTTTTCATTACTTTCTTCTAGATTTTTTGCTGATTTTTAAACAAATTCGCGAAATTTCAACAGTTTAAATGAAACTTTTTACTTTTTCTCAAGTATCGTCAGAAATTACCAAAGTAGATCATTGGGTTGGTTGGATTTTCAAAAGTGTCTTCAAGCTTTATTTCTCGAAATTTTGACGCATTTCCCAAAATCTCAATTATGAAATATGGCAATATATTTTGAAAATCTGAATTTGACCAAGATTTTTTTTCATAATTTTTCCCCCAAATTTTTGGTAAATTTTTAACAAATTCGCCAACATTTCAACATTTCAAATTGAAATTTTTGACTTTTTCCCAGCCATCATGATTCTACAGAAATTACTAAAGGAGATTTTTGGTTCATTTGGGCTTTCAAGAGTGTTTTATAGCGTCATTTCTTTAAAAATATTCACCAATGTCCCAAAATCGCCATTATGAAATATGGCAATTATTGATATATTTTGAAAATTTGAATTTGAAAAAAGTAGTTCGAAAATCAGTCGTCGTTTAGACTTGAGATTACTTTTTCACATAGATTCATAATTTCTTCGACAACACGATTTTTTCGTTACTTTCTTGCAGATTTTTTTGCTGCTTTTTAAATAAATTCGCAAAATTTCAACATTTTAAATGAAACTTTACTTTTTCCCAACTATCGTCAAAAATTACCAAAGAAGATCTTTGGGTTGGTTGGATTTTCAAGTGTCTTCAAGCTTTATTTCTCGAAATTTTCACGCATTTCCCAAAATCTCAATTATGAAATATGGCAATATATTGTGAAAATCTGAATTTGACCAAGATTTTTTTTCATAATTTTCCTCCCGAACTTTTGGTAAATTTTTTTACAAATTCGCCAAAATTTCAACATTTCAAATTGAAATTTTTGACTTCCCAGGCATCATGATTCTACAGAAATTACTAAAGGAGATTTTTGATTCATTTGGGCTTTCAAGAGGGTTTTATAGCGTCATTTCTTTAAAAATATTCACCAATGTTCCAAAATCGCCATTATGAAATTGGCAATTTTTGATATATTTTGAAAATTTGAATTTGGAAAAAGTAGTTCGAAAATCAGTCGTCGTTTAGACTTGAGATTACTTTTTCTCATAGATTCATAATTCTTTCGACAACACGCTTTTTTCATTACTTTCTTGTAGATTTTTTTGCTGATTTTTAAACAAATTCGCAAAATTTCAACATTTTAAATGAAACTTTACGTTTTCCTAAGTATCGTCAGAAATTACCAAAGTAGATCTTTGGGTTGGTTGGATTTTCAAGTGTCTTCAAGCTTTATTTCCCGAAATTTTCACGCATTTCCCAAAATCTCAATTATGAAATATGGCAATATATTTTGAAAATCTGAATTTGACCAAGATTTTTTTTCTTAATTTTTTCCCCCGAATTTTTGGTAAATTTTTTAACAAATTTGCCAAAATTTCAACATTTCAAATTGAAATTGTTGACTTTTTCCCAGGCATCATGTTTCTACAGAAATTACTAAAGGAGATTTTTGGTTAATTTGGGCTTTCAAGAGTGTTTTACAGCGTCATTTCTTTAAAAATATTCACCAATGTCCCAAAATCGCCATTATGAAATATGGCAATTTTTGATATACATATTTTGGAAATTTGAATTCGGAAAAAATTGTTCGAAAATCAGTCGTCGTTTAGACTTGAGATTGCTTTTTCTCATAGATTCATAATTCCTTCGACAACACGATTTTTTCATTACTTCTAGATTTTTTGCTGATTTTTAAACAAATTCGCAAAATTTCAACATTTTAAATGAAACTTTTTACTTTTTCCCAAGTATCGTCAAAAATGACCAAATTAGATTGGAAAATTTTCATCAAAATTTTCAGAATTTTGTTACGAAAACACTGTTAGCTTGTTCATATTTGGTATGAAGTACACTTTTCTTACACCCTTGATAGAAAACGGATTAACAATGGTTCAAAAAATATCGGGTGAGAAGAAATTTAAAAAATCACCAGGTATGAATCCATTGACAAAGGATACGTATGTCAATTCCAACACGTGCAGTGTAATATTAATAATAAAACACTGGGGTGCAGCATAAGAAATCGTTGATAAAAATTTGTCCGTTTGTCACAACAAATCGACAAATATACAATCAAACCTAAATGAAAGCAGCCGAAGCTACGCTGTCAAATGACAAGCATATTTTCCACCGCGCTTTGTTTAGAATATAAAAATCTCCTGAAAATTTTGACACAAATGACGTTTCGTTGTATGGAGTTATTCGCGTTAGTAATGTTGGTTGCATAATCATCGAATTTTAACTGGGTTAATTTTAAAACCTAATATAGCCATATTTAAAAGTGTGGGTGTAATAATTCGATGGGACTAGCTGTATTATTGTGGCCATTTATGTATTTTTATATCGAAAAATTGAGGCGCCATTTTGTTTCCAGTACGGAGCGGTATGCCTAGCGGTCAAATGAATGGAGTAGTACACAATCAAGGGAGTAAAAATCACTTACCCCCGCCCCCACCCGGTTTCGTTCAGCCAACAACACATATGAATTCGTTCGGTAAGTGTGGGGTCTAAGTTTAAAAACAAAATTAAAGTCACGATTTCAGGTAGTAAAATTTTACCTTTTTTAAATATGTCAAATAATCAACAACAAATTAACTCGACAACACAAAATTGGCCTAGCTATAACGTGCAGGTGCAACAACAACAACAACAGCAGCAGCAGCAACAGCAACAACAACAACAACAGCAGCAGCATAAAAGTTCGTATTTTGTAGCCAATGTAGGTTGCGATTAAGTTGAAGTTGTTTCAGATATGAACAGTAACGATTGGAAAGATTTCGACTCGGCAATAGTCACGACCAGTCGTCACTACCCCCTAATGCCCCCAATCAGTAACCCCTTTAGGTCGTTACAACAACAGTTAGGCACACAACAAATACCGAACGGATCGCTAAGGTCCCACGAGTATACAAATAACGCATTTTCAAATTTCACACAACAACTCCAACAGCCAAATTATACTAATTATTCATCACATTTAAATTCGACATCGACAACACAACAACAGTCAAACTTGAGTTGGTTCACTAGCGAATTAAATACACAAATATCAAGTCCACCCGGATTTAGAAGTAATCAAACGTCGAAACAGCAGGAGTGTTAGATCAGATTATTAAAGCAACCAAACTTGATGCGATGGTGTGTGGATCCGTTAAAATATATTATTTCTTTCATTTCGGTTTTTTCCTTTCCTTGTATTCAGCTGCAGCGAGTCCGAGTTCTACGATTTGTGCAATATGAAGTTAACAACGGAGTTTTCAGAAGATCGGTTTTAAGTTTATCGTTATCGTGATTTTCGTATTTGGATCCATGCCGTTTAATTCGTCTAATCGGTGAAACAAGTACTAAGATGTGCTTTATTTTTATTATAAAATTCTGTGGGTGCTTGGCCAACAATCTTCAAATGATTAAAAACTAATATTATCATTATATTCATTTGATTATATAAAATAAAACAGCTAAATATATAATACAATATCTGAGTGGGGCGTTTCATTAATCGTACCTTGGCCAGCGCCGACCACCCATGTCATAATGAATCAATAGAACGTTGCACGCTATAAATTTTTCAAACGACGTCATCAATTTTTTAGAGGGGATGACTACACAAATTTTATAAAAATTACACGTAAGTAGAAAATAAAACCACGAAATGTTTATTCTAATGGTGTATATTTATATGCTTTTTTAAATTAGAGTTAACTGTACTTTTGAACATACACTGGTTGCATTCATACCATTTAACGTCTTTCTCGTCTGAATGTCGCGTATTTTCGTGGCTTCTCAAATGCGAACTGTACTTGGCTCTATATGGGCATTCTTTACACTTGAACCATTTAATCTCGTCTCCAGTCAAGTGGCACGCATTTATGTGACTTTTCAAAGCCGATTTATACTTAGACTTGTACGAGCACTTTTCACATTTAAACCACTTAATATCCTGCTCGTCCAAATGACTAACGTTTATATGACTTTTCAAATTGCTCTTCTGTTTAGTCTTGTACTCGCACATTTTGCATTCATACCACGTAATAAACTGCTCATCTAAGTGCTGCGTCGTTATGTGTCTTTTTAAATAAAAACTCCGTCTTGTCTTGAATGGACACTTTTCACATTTGTACAATTTCACGTCTTTTTCGTCCAAGTGCTTGAATTTTACGTGTTTTTTTAACTCATAGCTGGTTTTAGTTTTATATTGACACTCTCGGCATTTATACCACTGGACATCTTTGTCTTCCAAATGTCGCGTAATCACGTGTCTATTCAACGTCGACTTATACTTGCTTTTATAGACACACTTTTGGCATTCATACCATCTAATTTTCTCTTCACTTAAATGACACATACGAGTGTGAGCTTTAAGATTTGCTTTGTATTTAGTTTTGTAGGGACACTTTTTGCATTCACACCATTGGATATCGCGTTCATCCAAATGGTGAGTGTTCATATGGCTTTTTAAATTGTGGTTTTCTTTAGTTTTGTAGGGACACACTTTGCACTTGCGCCATTTAATATACTGTTCATCTACGTGGCGAGCAATTACGTGTTTTTTTAAGTAACTATTTCGTTTTGTTTTGTATGGACACATGTCACAATTGAACCATTTAATATCTTTTTCGTCCAGATGCTTGTACATTATGTGCTTGCCTAAGTCACAGCTGGTTTTAGCTCTATATGGACAGTCATTACAGTTGTACCATTTGATGTATTTTTCGTCCAGATGGTGTGTAATAACGTGTCTGTTTAGTGTCGATTTAAATTTAGTTTTATATTCACATTGTCCACAGTTGTACCATGTTACATCTTGGTCGCTTAAATGTCGCGAGATTAGGTGACTTCTTAATCCAGATTTGTTTTTAGATTTGTACGAACATTGTGTGCAGTGGTGCCAAACTAATTCATCTTGTCTTGTTTTTTCGTTGTTTATCAAACATGCTCTAACATGTTGGAGCCAATTAATAGCGGAATGTGTTAAAAAGCTGCATGTTTCACAAAAATAATTTTTAATCCGGTATTCATTATTTAGTGCGCCTGGATCTTCTTTCTTCACGGAGTGATATCTTGAAACGTGTTCTTTAAAAAATACTGTTAGTTCAGTCTGGAAATCACACTTCTTGCAATAATAATCTTCGATGATTGCGTTTTCGCAGTCGAAAGGTGTTAACATGGGATGGACAGACATTTCAGGCACCTGAAGTAATTCATTGCCATTTTAGTATTAATTCGTCTATCTGTTAGGACTATTCTCACCTGATAATTCAAACAGAAATTGTTAAAACTTTGAAAAAACCGATCAAAATAATCAGTCAGTGACAGATCCCACCATGTTGCAGAGTCGAACTGTCAATTGCAGGTGCACCAATCACGAACACAATATCCCTAATTAGTGGATTGGGTTATTGGAAAATTAAAATTGTAAGTAACAATTAAAATATATCCCTTATAACTCGTTCTTTTAATACCAGATTTAGCTTCTTTTTGAAAAATAACTACAAGAGTCAATGATCTAGTTGTGTGGGGTTTTTCACTTGTGAGGTTGGTTGTATGAAGTGATAGCTGACACATCGAGATATTGATTGGATTATCTAATTAAAAAAAAAAACAATTTGAAACTAAACAAGATTTTATTGAAAATTGTCAACAAGGAACAAAATTGCAGTCAGTTTTGTAATTTCTTCTCTTGAATTTTTCTGTTGAAGCCATGCCGTGATTTATCATAAGAAAAAGGATGTTATCATAGTTACAACATCGCTTTTTCTTATGATAGACCAAAGTGGGTAAACTCTGATCGTAGACTTGTGCGTAAAAACAATAACATGTAATATCTTGAAGCCATGCCGTGATTTATCATAAGAAAAAAGATGTTACCAAATTTACAACATCACTTTTTCTTATGGTGGACCACGATGGACAAAATTTACCAGCTGGTTCATTCAGTTCTTAGTTCCACGTGTCTGTTACCTTTGAAAGCTTGAAATTACAATTGTAGTTTTGGTTTACCTGAAGTAAATGTACCACGTAGATCTATCTATATTTACCAACATGTGGACGTTGAGCACCCACGTGTTGACCACTACTCGGACCACTATAAAACCAAGCAAAGAATTAAAATACTAATCACTCTCGTTTCAAATAAGTGAAAATAAGATTACTCTTAACTTACTTGTGTTTTAAAGTTTTATTTTCATTGTTTCATGTCAGGGTTGCGAAAAGAAAGAACATCTGAACCCACAGGTTATAACAGTTATGGCAATTATGGCATGAGTTTTTGCGCCATCTGCTGAGAATTATCAATATTTTAACGCGGTAAATTTAAAAGAGGTAACAACGTATTCTTGGCTATTTTCGAATTTTATCTACTCTTTTGAAATTGCAGTGGTTGAAGGTTATTTGGACAGAAAATTGTTTGCGATTTTTATTTTCTGATAAACTTTATCAGAATTTTTCGATTCTCCATTTTTTTCCTTTTTTTTTCACTTCAGTTTTTCAATTTTCCAGCCTTCGAATTTTTCAATGTCTAGTGTTGGACGTAAAGGCTTTGAAAACACCTTTTTTTTTCGCGGCGATTTTACAATTCCAAAAAAATATATTAAAATTTGGATCGAAGCTGACAAACGCATCAAAAGGTCACCTACCTTGTTTTGTTCAGCCTCCTGGGTTGAGGGTTTGTAGACCGCATGCACAAAGGAACCACGTGTCTAAGTTTCGCGACAACAATTCGCGAGTGACGTCACACAAGATGGCAACTGCGTTCACTTAACGCCCACCTTAGCGATGTTACCTCTCTGAGGGTTTCTCGATGACTCTCTTCGATAACAGCGCCAACCCCAAGTACCGGGCCTTTTTGCTCGGTACTATGGCGCCTCTAGTGGAAAGTGACCAAAATACACTTGTCAGCAATCCGCGGGATAACAAACAAAATCAAAACAAAATTTTAAACAAACTTCGAACCGGAACATCTAGATTTTGCTATTTTTTAGTTTTGTTTTTTTCAGTTATTCGATTTTTCTCGTTTCTCGTTTTATCAATTTTTCATTTTGCGATTTTTCGATTTTCAATGTTTTTGTTTTTTCATTTCAATATTTTAATTTTTCAATTTCTCGATTTTTCAATTTATCATTTCCTCCATTTTAGGATTTATAATTTTTCGTTTCTTCAATGTGAAATTTCTTAATTTTTGGATTTTTCAATTTTACGGTTTTCAGTTTTTCGATTTTTTCAGTTCAAATTATGCAGTTTGTCAAATTTCCAGCCTTCGAATTTTTCAATTTTTAGATCTTGTAATTTTTCGATTAGTTTTTTCTGTTTTGACTTCGTAGTTTTTTTGTTTTTTCAACTTTAATTTATTTTTTCAGTTTCCCGTTTCATCAATTTTTCAGTTTTTCGATTCTTTAATTTTTCAATTCTTCAAATTTTTAGTTTATAGTTTTTCGTTTCGATTTTTTGTTTTCTTTATTTTACAATTTTTGGATATTCGGATTTTATAATATTTTGTTTTTTAATTCAATGTTTCGTTTTCCAATTTTTCAGTTTTTAATTTTTTTCCAACTATGCAATTCTTTGAGTTTTCATTTTAGAATTTTTCTGTTTATCGTTTACCAACTTTTGGATGTTTCAGTTTTTAGATTTTGCAATTTCACGAGTTTTCAATTTTTCGGTTTTTCAAAGTCCTGATTTTATAATTTTCTTTTCTTCAATGAAATTTTTTTATTTTTGGATTTTTTAATTACTAGATTTTGTACTTTTTCGATTCGTTTTTTTTTCTTTATTTTTTTCCATGTTTTGATTTTGTAATTTTTTTGTTTTTTCAACTTTAATTTTGTCAGTTTCTCGTTTCATTAATTTTTCAATTTGCGATTTTTCAGTTTTTCATTTTTTTGTTTTCAAAATTTCCCCATTTTTCAGCTTAAAATTTTTCAGTTTTTAGATTTTTCGAGTTTTCATTTTAGAATGTTTCTGTTTTTCGTTTACCAACTTTTGGATATTTCAGTTTTTAGATTTTACAATTTTTCGTTTTTTTTCCTTTATTTTTTCCATGTTTTGATTTTGTATTTTTTATTTGTGTTTTCAACTTTAATTTTTTCAGTTTCTCGTTTCATCAATTTTTCAATTTGCGATTTTTCAGTTTTTCATTTTTTTGTTTTCAAAATTTCTCCAATTTTCAGCTCTTAATTTTTCAGTTTTTAGATTTTGCAATTTTTCGATTTGCATTTCATGAGTTTCAATTATTAATTTTTCGTTTCGGTTTTTTTCTTTATTTTTTCAATTTTTCGGTTGTTCAAAGTTCTGATTTTATCATTTTTCTTTTCTTCGATGTGAAATTTTTGATTTTTGGATTTTGCAATTTTTAGATTTTGCACTTTTTCGATTCGTTTTTTTCTTTATTTTTTCCCATGTTTTGATTTTGGTTTTTTTTTTGTTATTTCAACTTTAATTTTTTCAGTTTCTCGTTTCATCAATTTTTCAATTTGCGATTTTTCAGTTTTTCATTTTTTTGTTTTCAAAACTTCTCCAATTTTCAGCTTTTAATTTTTCAGTTTTTCGGTTCTTTAATTTTTTAATTCTTAAAATTTTTAGTTTTTTCTAATTTTACGATTATTCAACTCTTCAAGTTCATTTTAGAATTTTTCTATTTTTCGTTTACTAACTTTTGGATATTTTAGTTTTTAGAATTTACAATTTCTCGATTCGTTTTTTTTTTAATTTTTTTGATTTTGTATTTTTTTTTGTTTTTTCAACTTCAATTTTTTCAGTTCCTCGTTTCATCAACTTTTCAATTTTCCATTTTTTTTATTTTCCAAATTTCTCGAGTTCCCAACTTTTAATTTTTCAATTCTTCAAATTTTTAGTTCGGAATTTTTGGTTTCATTTTTTTATTTTCTTTATTTTACTGTTTTTCGATATTCCGATTTTATAGTTTTTTGTTTTTTCATTTCAATTTTTCGTTTTCCAATTTTTCAGTTTTTTATTTTTTTCCAATTTTACGATATACAACTCTATGCAAGTCTTTGAGTTTTCATTTTAGAATTTTTCTCTTTTTCGTTTACCAACTTTTGGATGTTTCAGTTTTTAGATTTTACAATTTTTCGATTTACAATGTTACAAATTTTCAATTTTTAATTTTTCAATTTCTCGATTTTTCAGTTTATCATTTCTTCAATTTTTGGATTTATAATTTTTCGTTTCGGCTTGTTCCCCTATTTTTTCAATTTTTCGGTTTTTCAACGTTCTGATTTTATAATTTTTCTTTTCTTCAATGTGAAATTTTTGAATTTTTCAATTTTTCAATTTTTCGGTTTTCAGTTTTTCGATGGTTTCAGTTCAAATTTTTCAGTTTGTCAAATTTCCAGCCTTCGAATTTTTCAATTTTTAGATTTTGCAATTTTTCGATTGTTTTTTTTTCTTTATTTTTTCCATATTTTAATTTTGTAATTTTTGTTTTTTCAACTTAAATTTTTTCAGTTTCTCGTTTCACCAATTTTTCAATTTTCCATTTTTTGTTTTCAAAATTTCTCGAATTTCCAACTTTTAATTTTTCAATTTTTCGATTCCTTAATTCTTCAATTCTTCAAATTTTTTTTTTTTTCAATTTTACGATATCCGACTCTTCGAGTTTTTATTTTAGAATGTTTATGTTTTTCGTTTACCAACTACTTTTGGATGTTCCAGTTTTTAGTTTGTTTTCTTTATTTTTTCGATTTTTCGGTTCTTCAAAGTTCTGATTTTATAATTTTTCTTTTCTTCAATGTGAAGTTTTTTAATTTTCGGATTTTTCAATTTTTTGATTTTGCAATTTTTCGATTGTTTTTTTTTCTTTATTTTTTCAAAATTTCTCGAGTTTCCAACTTTTAATTTTTCAATTTTTCGATTCTTTAATTTTTCAATTTTTCAAATTTTTAGTTTTTTTTTTCCAATTTTACGATATCCAACTCTTCGAGTTTTCATTTTAGAATTTTTCTGTTTTTCGTTTACCAACTACTTTTGGATGTTCCAGTTTTTAGTTTGTTTTCTTTATTTTTTCGATTTTTCGATTTTTCAAAGTTCTGATTTTACAATTTTTCTTTTCTTCAATGTGAAGTTTTTTAATTTTCGGATTTTTCAATTTTTTGATTTTGCAATTTTTCGATTCGTTTTTTTTCTTTATTTTTTTAATTTTTTTTGATTTCGAATATTTTTTGTTTTTTCAACTTTAATTTTTTCAGTTCCTCGTTTCGTCAACTTTTCAATTTTCCATTTTTTTTATTTTCAAAATTTCTCGAGTTTCTAACAATTTTCAATTCTTCAAATTTTTAGTTTGGAATTTTTGGTTTCAGTTTTTTATTTTCTTTATTTTACAATTTTTCGATATTCCGATTTTATAGTTTTTTGTTTTTTCATTTTAATTTTTCGCTTTTCGATTTTTCGATTTTTTATTTTTTTGTTTCTTCAATTTTACGATATTCATTTTTTAATTTTTCTGTTTTTCGGTTATCAACTTGTGGATGTTCCAGTTTTTAGATTTTGCAATTTCTCGATCTTTCAATTTATAATTTCTTCAATTTTTCGATTTGTAATTTTTCGTTTCGGTTTTTTCTGTTTTTTCGGTTTTTCAGTTCTGATTTTATAATTTTTCTTTTCTTCAATGTGAAATTTTTCAATTGTTGTATTTTTCAATTTTTTGATTTTGCAATTTTCCGATTCATTTTTTAATTTTTTTTTCAATTTTTTTATTTTGCATTTTTTTGTTTTCAAAATTTGTCGAGGTTCCATGTTCTAATTTTTCAATTTTTCGATTCTTTAATTTTTCAATTCCTCAAATTTTTAGTTTGCAGTTTTTCATTTCTGTTTTTTCAGTTTTTCAATTTTTTATTTTTTTTTGTTTCTTCAAAATTGAAAAATTTCAAAATTGGAAAATCAAATAATAAAAATGTAAAGTCGAGAAAATGATGACTAAAAAATTGTGAAAATGGAAAATTGAAAAAATGCAAAATTCAAAAATTGTAAATCGAAAAATTGAGAAATTTGGAAGTCGAGAAACTGAAATATTGAAGAAATTAAAGTGGAAATCACGAAAAATTATGAAACCGAAACGCCAAAAATGGAAAAATTGAAAAACGAAAGAAAATGAAAAAACGAAAAATTGTGAAATCAAACAATTGTAAAAATCAAAGGAAAAGGAAAAACGAAAAATTGTTTTTCAAGGTTTTTTTGCCGATTTTATTTTGTACATACCTTTCAATAACACGCTGTATATACTACTTGATTTTGCGAA